CCAGGAGGTAGAAAACTTACAAGTAGATGGAAGTTATGCGCCTGTCTCCCCTTAGGGGTATCTGTAAATGATGGAAATCTTCCAAGCAAAATGGACCATAAAGCAGGTAAAAATAAGCACATCAGGGTGACTCTCCCAATGTAGCTGGGGCGGCAAAGCAGCTCACACACTCCGGGAACTGGATCACCTGGTACTTCCAAGGACTTCAGCCGAAAAGCTAATTTTAGCTTACACAGTAAAAAGATCCTGAAGGAGATAGATCAATTGATGCACACTGTGTAAGCAAAAATACATTTTATTTTAGCCAAACATCGATTTCAGCTGAAATCCTTGGAAGTACCAGGTGATCCAGTTTCCAGAGTGTGTGAGCTGCTTTGCTGCCCCAGCTACATTGGGAGAGTCACCCTGATGTGCTAATTTTTACCTGTTTTATGGTCCCTCTTGCTAGGAAGATTTCCATCATTTACAGATACCCCTGAGGGGAGACAGGCGCATAACTTCCATCTTCTTCTTCTAAGTTTTCTACCTCCTGAAGCTATTTCATTAGCCCCACATTTTTCACCATATGTAATTTTTTCCCTAGATTCCCACTACCATTCCATCCTGATTCTCAGGTTGTAACCTCTGTATACTATTTTGTGTTCCACCACCTTCTACCTTATACTTCCCCCAGGGGTCATATTTTTGTTCACATTTTATTATATTTGCAAGTGTTTGAGGTACAATTCTGTAGGGTGGCTGTACGTTTTTGCTTTCCTGTTTATATATAGTACATATTTTGTTCATCACTAAGGGGGAGTTTATGTCCCGAGAATGGTTTAACCCCTTGAGGTAAGAGTGCTCCCGGAGGCCTCCTGGCACCATAACAACTTCCTTTAGATGATGTTGTGGTACCTGTAGCATTCCTTTAACGGAATATAGAGTCAATGATAAAGCCATGGTCAAGGACAGGAGAAACCATGATAATCAGGATACTTGCAGGTCAAGGGAGTACAGAAATCAGAATAAATGAAGTACAAAGCCAAGGATCAAATACCAGAACAACAGACTAATACAAGAACATGCTATTGGGCTAAAAGGAACCACAACAAAGCAACAACAAGTGGAACAGGGGAGCATAAATTCCTATTGGGAATCGTCACTTTTAAGTTCCAGATGATGAGTGATACAAAACAGTATCAGTCCAATTCATGATGTAATCGAGAGCATAAGGCATCCGGTAGAATGCTGGAAGAAAAATATAAAACTACAGCAACTGTGATACTCACGATTCCAGAGACATCATAAATACTCATTTTAGTTTAGCAGACACTGAAGTCTCATGGGAAATATCACAGTATGACAGTCCAGGCATGAATAGCATTGAGATTTCAGGCCATTAGCCAAAGAACAAACCCCCAAAGTACTAGGCTAGCAAAGGCCCTGCACAAGTCCTGCCTGTTTCGTCACTCATGTAGAACTGTGCAAATATACATCTAACACACCTTCCGCTATTATTATCAGAAGAATGGTTTGAGGCTGCTGCCATAACATGAAAGGGCTACTAGCCATTTCCTGTTAGTGGCTGAGGGGCAATTGCCTCCCTGCCTCACCAACTAACCCTCCCAAGGTTAAGGTTGTTTTTTTTTTGTACTAAAAATGAACTGCGATTACTGCACTTTTATTCATAAGAAACTACAGTAATCACATCTTGATTTGTAATAGAGACGTGTCCAAAATCCACACGCTGTAAAAGAAAAATGCAAACGCAGGCCATACTGAGTACAGTCATGTAGTATTTATTTTTCTGTGGAATTTTATGAAATTTGTGATGCAGTTACTCTGAGTTTATTTTTATTTGCAAACTTGTATTTTAAAGGCATATTGGGGACAACTATGGCTGCTGAGAGGAGTTATGTAACATGTGCTTCTGTTTAAAGAAGAATTGAGAATACATTCAGTGCTACTCTGCTCTAGGTTTGGTGATTTCTAAGTAGCACGCAAGCCTTGCAAACACTGGCAAAGTCTCTCGTATACAGCTGGTGACAATGTTGAGTTATTAGAGTAAACATGATGCAATTAAATATTATATGTTATTTATAAAAAAATCCCACGTGTCCATTTCCATAAATCATGTAAAAGAGAAGGAGGTCAACTTCAGCCTGTTGCTTTACAGTACATTTTTAGTCATCAAACTACACAGTACAAAAAGTATAATGCTTGGATCTGTAAAAATAATTCTCTGGGATAAAAAGGTATATACCTATAATTCTAAACATTTTCATAATGCATGGTATCAATACCATATTGAACAGGAAATAATAAATAATAGGAATTGTCGTACTATGCTTGTGATCTTGATCTAAAGTTACACTTTTGTGTGCCTCTCTTTTGCCCTCGGAGTATGTAATGAATAGCAAGACAGAAAATAATTAATATTAAAATGGTCTCTTCTTGCTCAAGAAAGAGATAATACATGCATAATGACTAGTATCTATCAATCATATTGAGATGAGTTAATAAAGTTAGTATAAAAACTAAAAATAGCAGAGAAGACATTTTTAATAATGTTTAATATTAAATATAATTTGATATAAAGTATATATTTGCTCACACCGATCAAGTATTAATGTAAAAATGACATACCTTATGTTTTTGTCTGATGTAATTTAAAACATTTGATCCTCAACCAAATCAGCCACGGTTCACTATTAGAACCAAAACATCTTCTTATATTCCATTTTGTATTCCATAATCATGTGTTTTCTTTGCTTCAATGTGAATAAAAGGACATCCTCATTGCTTGACACCTTCAACATGTACTGGAAGGACAGCAACTGGCAAATCTTGTATGTGAGCACATGTTCAAACCCTGAACACATTCACTGTCATGATTTGAGTATTAATTTACGGCTGAGTAATAGTTACGTCAATTACAGTTAAGTAACAAGATGTAAAAAAACTAGATAAAAGACTTAAAAGGATAGAGATATCTATGTTAGCAATGCAATAGGGATATCAGGTTACTTAAATTCTCAACACGCTAAATACCCAAATACGATTTATGCATGTGAAAAATGTAAACCCTACTCTCATTTGCATCCGAATTTGTCATAGATTTTGTCTTCCCCCTCTTGCAAACACATTTAACCATTTCAGCACTAGAGTTACGAAAATATGTTGCATTTAGTAGCAATATGGACTTAAAGTAATAAAAATGAATTCTTAATTCAACAAAAAAAATATTACTAATGAGGCCTTACGAGCCATGTGATCTTATGGAGAGTCAATGCTTGCTTGCCTACTCTCCATGCTCAGAAGGTTTAATGAATTAAAGGACCACTATAGTGCCAGGAAAACATACTCGTTTTCCTGGCACTATAGTGCCCTGAGGGTGCCCCCACCCTCAGGGACCCCCTCCCGCCCGGCTCTGGAAGGGGGAAAGGGGTAAAAACTTACCTTTTTCCAGCTGGGCGGAGAGCTCCCCCTTCTCTCCTCCTCCGTTCCGCCCCTCCGGCTGAATGCGCACGCGCGGCAAGCTGCGCGGCATTCAGCCGGTCACATAGGAAAGCATTCTCAATGCTTTCCTATGGACGCTGGCGTGCTCTCACTGTGAAAATCACAGTGAGAAGCACGCAAGCGCCTCTAGTGGCTGTCAATGAGACTGCTATGTTTATAAAAAAATGGGTTAACCCTAGAAGGACCTGGCACCCAGACCACTTCATTAAGCTGAAGTGGTCTGGGTGCCTAGAGTGGTCCTTTAATGACTCAGTTCCAATATTGTGGTTAAATAGTTGCAAACTATTGCTATTAACAAAAGCCAGTATTTATAAGTGTTGTTTTTGGCACCAAATTTCAATTTAGTTTTAGTCATAGTCTTTTGACTGAAAAGCCCTTTTAGTTTTAGTCGTATTTTAGTCATCTAAATTGTTTTAGTTATAGTATAGTTTTCGTTGACTAAGTGTCCAGTAGATATTAGTAAACACGACTGAAATATAATGGGTATCATTAACGCCTCTATTTCTTTTGCCCCTTCTCCAGCCCCTCTGTGACTCTATGTGTCCCCCCAGCCCACCATGTGTCTCATTCCCTATGCCCCCCATGTATCTAATTTCTTCTTTTCCCTTGCCATGTGTATTACCCGCAAGTGTTAATATTGGCAGCAAATTTTAATTTAGATTTAGTCATAGTCTTTTGACTAAAAAGCCACTTTTCTGTTAGTCTAGTTTTATTTGACTAAATTGTAGTCTAAAATTGTTAGTCGATAAAATTAACACTGGTATTTGTTGCTCTTTAACAAAATGTTTATAGTTTTATTACTATTTTTTACCACCAATAACTTTTGCTCACAAAGTCACCATCCAATCACAAGTCAGCTAATGGCAAAACACAAAAACACATGCTGTATAGTTTACTCCTGGTTTTCAGTATTGGCACCCAACATCTCCATGTTTTTGCTTATGAAAATTATCCAACCAGCAGTTGGATGGGGTAAAGTAATGGCAGTATTAATAGGACATTGCTGTCCCATTTCCAAGTTTAAGTAACAATTAAAATTGGGAATGCAGGTTTAATGTGGCTCTTTCACCCCAAGCTTACATTTCTCATATTGTTTCCTCTTCT